TTGCAGCTCCTTTTCTCTACATCTGCATATTTTCAGTTTTAGCTTTAAGCAGCATTTTATGTTCAAGCTGGTTATATGTTTTAGCACACCTTTATAATTCCTTAAACATGAATATATATATCAAGCTGGTTATATGTTTATCCACAAGAGGGACCACTGTAAGGTGAAACTTATCACGAAATAACGTGAACCTTATCACGTAATAACGTGAAACTTATCACGTAATAATGTGAAACTTATCACGAAATAACGTGAACCTTATCACGTAATAACGTGAAACTTATCACGTAATAATGTGAAACTTATCACGAAATAACGTGAACCTTATCACGTAATAACGTGAAACTTATCACGTAATAATGTGAAACTTATCACGAAATAACGTGAACCTTATCACGTAATAACGTGAAACTTATCACGTAATAATGTGAAACTTATCACGTAAAAACGTAAAACTTATCACGAAATAACACGAAACTTATCACGTAATAACGTGAAACCTATCACGTAATAACGTGATACTGAGCCAATTTTTTTTTTTTCTCAGTGTGGCAGCAATACGCTTCCGTAGGATGCTCTTAATTGAACATTGGTATAAATTGTTATATGTCTCCATATGTGATCCTGCAGTTGACTGGTGAAGGTGAACTGTCCAAAAATAAATAGGAGAAGAGAAGATGAATGAATGGATACATTTTATTTACATTCAATCACTTTTTCTATAATGTATGTTTTGGTCTTAAGTATTAGGTACTTCAATATTTTCAGTTATCATTTTTACAGCAAAGGTGTCAAACTCATTTTGGTTCAGCCTAATTAGATGTCAAGTGGTCTGGACATACAGTACACCTACCGGTATACGTATAAATAATAATAAGCCCATTTTTTCCCCTTTTTTATGCAAAGTACTACAAGTCTTCATTTTCAAATCTTCATATTTAATGAAATATCATTTTACAAAACATCATGAACATGAAGTGTTTGTGCTTTTTTTGCTTTCAAAATTTATCAAGCGGGATGAACTCCTTAGCGGGCTGGTTTTCGCCCGCGGGCTGCATGTTTGACACCCCTTTTCAATTTTGCGGTCTTTCTATCTGCCACGCGTCCTGAATCTCCTTGATGAAAATCAGTGGCTGACAGTGGATCAGCCGCTCAGCAGCATAGATGAAACGCCTCAGACACGTCCACTGAAACGTGAAAGGTGAAAACTCATTAGAACATTGATGTTGAGTAAAATGGTGTTAGTTGATGTGACACTCGTAGGCTTACTTTACATTCATAAAGATTAAGATTAAGAAGTCCTTCATTTGTCCCACAATGGGGAAATTCACAGTGTTGACAGCAAAGTGTAGTACAAGGTATAAAGAATGAAGTTTACAGTAGTGTTACAGAAATAAAATAAAGAGAATCATAGTCAGCTTGCGGTTTTTAACATTATACTGTCCGTAAATTTTGCTGGTTTAATTATGTTGACATATGGCAGTCCAAGAATAAAAAGTTGATGTTGTGGCAGTTGAAGGATGACTCTGAGGCGCAGGTGCTCTATATGTCTTTATTAGTCCGTGACGACAGGAACAGAGAGTGAACATGGCGCTGAGCGCCAAATTCTATGGGCACTTAACACGCCCCTTTACCCATAACCCTACTGGGTGATAGGCATGCCCCTCAGTGCCTGCCACAATATAATAATAAATTAACGAATGCAGATAATAATTAGTCAAAGACAAAATCAAACCATTTTACATATTACAATCAAGAAGTGTGCAATATTGCACTTGGGAGTGAAGATATTGCACATATTACTGGTTATACCTTTGGTATGCTGGTTATTGAGTCCCTTATTCATCCAACAATGGGGAAATTTACACTGCAACAAAAATAGTCAGCCACAAGAGGCGCCATCAAATACATAGTTGCACCAAACAATACTGTTTCACAAAATAATAAAAAATGTTCTGAAGGTTAATCTAATACAACGAACACTGAAGCTATTCAGCAAATCAAAGCAAACAGACCTGAGTGGAAGAAAAACATAAAAGAACCAAAGAAGGCGTGATTAATAATCTGCCAGTTGAAAATGATTGAGCTCCGTCTTACACTTATGGATCCCACAGGCCATCAGTTTTCACGGTTTCACTTTAATTAATTAACTTTTACCAGCAGTGATTCTGTTTTCATTAAAAGTTGATTAAACATTTTGGTCAAATCACTGTCCGTAATTACAATGGACACAAAAAACATGTTGGGAGTAACTCCAGTTATTAAAGTCATGATGATTGTAATTAAGAATATTCTCATAAGGATATTTAATCATAGACATATCAATGAGTATTTTCTATTGTTATTTGTACATTTTTAATTACGATGTGAAGAGAGTCTGAAGGTCCATTAGGTCAAGTAACTGCAATAATCACAAAATCTGTTCCAAACACCCAGGTAGAAAAAGGACTGATGTCAGCAAATTAACCCTGACTGACCTCAAAGTCAGTCACTAAGGCAATCAACCAGGCAGAAATAAAAGGCACAGAGAAAAAGCCAAGTGGAGATTCAAACGAACCGTAATGAGAAGTGAGGTCTGGCCCTGGCTGAGTTCCACTGCTGGGTCCAACCCTGCAGAATTGTGGGAGGGTGGAATCAGGACTTCCCTGCCATCTAGAATTGCGAGCTGCAATCCTCCTTCAGATGAAAAGAGTAGCCTAAAATGATCCTTCATATTTTTTATCATACACTTAATTATTACATTATACATTTTGTTCTGTTGACACTAATATACCTCGTGTCTATGTTTTCTCTGATGCTTATTGATGATGATTGGGGAGTTAATGTGCTTCCACCTTCACTGTGATGAAAAACATAACTATTACAACATAAATCACACGCTTAAAATGCCACCTGATAAATATGAACTTCATTCCCTCCACACACACTGTATTTCACTGTACACATTATCCTCATATTAAATGTGTTTGCCTGGCCTGTATGTATCATTTTGAATCATTAGCAGTCACATCACTGGCGTTGATGATTCTGTTGCTCTTAATATTACATTTAGAAATGATCACTGCCATAACTTTGTATTAATATTGTAGATGTTATTAATGCCAATTAGATTTTAATGGATTGTTGCCTCCGTACTCCTAAAGCTGTGTTGCCCGACCATTCAAGAGCCGACTGTCTCTGTTTGCTCCTTTAACGTTCACATCATTACACTAAAGCACAGGTTGACCGTGGTGAACAACAACCTCACAGCTGGCAGTCCAACCATGATTGTTGCTCCATCAACCAATAAAGTGATACTTCAGTACGCTGGGCTAACACAGCAAGACACTTACATTTGTATGCACGTGTCTCCAGATGAACACAGGTTTTGTTTCGGATCTGAAACACCCTTGTTAACAGATGTGCGCAGCTGTTATCTTTCGGAGAACTCCATTTCCATCCCCATGGGGAGAAAATAGAGGCATAAGAGCCTCACGTCCATGATGATCCCGGCTGTTTTTTGTTGTTGTTCAAAAGTCTGACAGCAGCACGCCCTAGTCATCTCAGTGTGAGAAAAATGTTTTCATGTGTTACATCTCTGAAATATACTCCACTGCCCTTGCCTCACCTTGCTAACTCTGAGTCTGTTTGGTATTATTAACATCAGTGTCAAGTCTATGTGCCCTGATTGCATTTAAACCTTCTTTGTAAATTAATTCCTCAATAAATGAATGCTGTGGTGTGATGCATCTTTTCCTAATATGCTGTTAAACCTCTAAAATTTGGCAGGGATGCAGTCACCTCACCACAGCCCTCTGGGCCTCATCCCTTCTAATTAATCCACTTGATTCCTTTATCACAACAGTTGTTACACACACACGTTTTCATGGAGCGTGGGGACTTTGCTTTTCCTCGGATACACACTCTACTCGTGAGGACACCAAATTTACATAGACGTAGAAAGCTCGTTTTAGGACAGAAATGCTTTTTAATTTTTTTACAACAGGGTGAGCATAGTGCTCACCAAGGTTTCTAAATTTTGTATCATTTTTTTTCTGGTATTTGTGCCGCGTGGGGACCTTCAAATTGTGTAATACCACAAGCAACCACCAGGGGGCATCATTTCACATTTGACCACAAGCCATTCGGAAATACTGACAAACCTTGCTAATATGAAGAATAGACGTCAACTGTTAATGTTAATAAAGAGCAGTGTGTTCCATCGTCTAAAAACTGTACATATCGCAATTAAGTTAAATAACATGCTTTATGTGAAAAGCTACAACAGTAACAGTATATAAAATACAGTATTTAAAATACTTTCCTCAAGTCAAGCATAAAGAGTATGTTTGAACAGTGTGACATGCTTCAACAATAGAAACCCAGTGAAACAGTTTTGCAGCAGTACCAGACCTATAAAAACATTAAGATGTTTACTAATTACTGCATTTCATGGATATAGAGCCCAACTCATCCTTAAGTCACGTGATTTTTAAAAGTAACCATAAAAGCTGCACTAAAGCTGCAGTTCAAGTATCAATATAATTCAGGCTTTGGTTTGTGGTTGACATTGAAAATAAAAGTACGGAAAATGTCCACCCATTTTCTAGTGCCTAATAATTTTCTGGGTCTCTGGAGCCAATCCAAGTTCATCTGCCCATCACAGGGCCACATAAAGAGACAAAAAAGATTCACACCTATCTACATCTTAGAGTGACTATTAACCTTAACTCCTATCTGCACATTATTGGACTATGGAGGAAAATGGAAAACCTGGAGAACCCCCCCCACACACACACACACACACAGGGAGAAGAGGAGAACTCTATACAAAAAAACCTGGGATTGAATCAGTGAATTAGTTTTGAACTGAAATGTTATGAAAATCATCATTTGGTTTTTCATCAAAAGTTTGTGAAATAGAATTTTGGAAGAATGGTCAAAAATTCCTATAAACACTCTCCTCAACCTTGTGGACAGTCTTCCCAGAAGAGTTGAAGCTGTAATAGCTGCAAAAGGTGGACCGACATCATATTGAACTCTGGGTTAGGAATGGGATGGCACTTCAGTTCATAGTAGGAGTCAAGGCAGGTGAGCCAATACTTTTGGTAATATAGTGTATATTATATGTATTATATATAATATATATTATATATATTATATTAGATTATATTATATTATAAGATTCTCCTAGAGGATTCTCCTGTGACTTTTACTTCAGACTGAGGTATCGAGGGTTTTTTCTTACCCTTGTGGTAGATGACATTCAGACTGTTGTCTGTTTCATTGCTGTCATGCTGAAGAAATAATTATAAAATAAACATTTCAATGAAAATTAAAATAATTTTAGATTTTTCTCTAGACGCATTTCAAAATGGTACTCCTCTCCCTACTCTAGAACGTTTTTGTCTCTTTATGTGGCATATCCAATGCTTGATGTTAGCTGTGATTGACCCCTGTAAGCCTAAAAAGAGTAACACTGTGAAAGACGGATGAGTGGATGGTATATAAAACGCAGGGTTTATATCCATGCAATACAGTAACTTAGTGCATCCTGTAGATAGTGGACCAACAAAAGTGCTTCTTAAAAAACATTAAACAAGAACTTAAAGGCAAATTTGCCTCCTCCATATAATGGGATATAGAAAATGTCAAGGCCTACCTTAATGTCGCTCACTTCAAGTTTATCAATACGATTTTTAACATAAAATTTGACTGCCCTCTAATCCCTTCTTTTAAGAGCATCAGAGGCCTCAATACACTGCAAATGGGATATAGAAAATGTCAAGGCCTACCTTAAAGTCGCTCGCTTCAAAGTATCAATGCGATTTTTAACATAACATTTTACTGTCTTCCAATCCCTTCTTTTAAGAGCATCAGGCGAGGCCTCAATACACTGCATACACTCATCTTTTCCTGGAACCTTCCCACTCTTGATTTTGTGAAGCAGAGTCTTCTCCACAGCTTGGACTTCCTCCTCCTGCCACCTCCTTTTTTTTTGGTTTTTGGATGTGTCTGAATGAAAAACAGACATTTAGTGTAAAAGTGTTGGAAGAATTTAATTTATTATCATTGCTTCATGCAGGTGGCGCTTTGGCCCAGAGGCAATGTGTCTGTCATTGGTGTGGAACTCCGGGGTCCACCTCCTGGGCAAGTTTGAATCCCAGTTAGGGCGGTTTATTATTTGATTTCATCTTCATTCATGTCATTTACCATCTTCCAAAAGGCTACACTTATATGGTTAGAAACTGGCTGAGCATGTGCACACAGCGCTTGTACTCTGGTTTTCCCTGGCTTTAGAGTACCAACCTTTCTGCTCAGATGACATCGCTGCATGTGCTTCCAAAGGTATGTCCTCTTCAAATAGGCTTCACAATTAACACAGTGCATATAATCAGAAGACTTTACAGGTGTCTTGGACAGCTGATGAGGTATCACCATTCCCTTTCCTTCTTGAATTACTTGATTATTATGGACACGGTTGCCTTTGTTTCTCAATAAGTTAAATTGTATTCTTCGTTCTTTTGAACCTTTTGGAAACGCAAGTATTCTTGCCACCTCTGGTTCGTTTTTATGTCTGGATTCTAAGTGACGTGCCATTTTGCCAACAGACTTAAAGCAGAAGACACAGAAGAACCTTTTGTTGTACATTCTGCCACCACCTTTTTTCTTCTCGAACATTGGGACAGTCACTGCAGGAGTACCAGCTGAAGAAGATTCTCCTGTGACTTGTACTTCAGAGTCAGGTGGAAGGGTTTTCTGGGGTATTCTCTTACTCTTGCGATGGTGGACTTTTGCAGAACGGTCATCCGTTTCATCAGATGATGTGTTACTGGGAAGATATTCATCCTCACTGAAATCTGAGCTTGAAAGGGATTCCTCTCTTTCATCTGCATATCCATACTTTTTCTCATTAACCTAAAAAGTGAGAGATTTCAGAATTGTGGAGCACAGTTAAACTTTTGTTCTTATATCAGATATTACACTTCTAAAAGCCTTAAGTGCAAAAGGTAAGTACAATGCTGCCGACTTCACCCACTGTACCCTATATCTTGTCCTCTATGTAAAATAAACCGGGAACACTCAGCTGAGCGAGGCCACACCACTACACTTATAATAACACTGTCTGCTCTGATGAGGGCAGGTACAAATAAGTCCACAATCTCATCGTTTAAAGAGTGGTCAACAATTATTGTGCTACTGTCACTGGAGATGTCTGAGTTCTGGAAAACAATGTCAGAAAAGCAAAATTGCTCAAATTGATTTTTATTCATAATTTTATAACAAACTGCTACAAACAAACCATTTCACAACTTTAAGTTCAATTTTGTCTCAATAATGACTAGTTGAGGCATAACTAAGTATACAGCTGCCTTCAGAAACAAATGGAGTGTGGACAATCATACCTCATTCTCCTGTGTAACCTCTGTATCAGCAATGGCTGAAAGAAATGAAACAAGTCAAATCAACGGAACATCTGAATTTGTCATAAAAACAATACTTGTGAGCCTGGACCCTAAAATGAGAAAGTATCTTTCAACAATGTTACAATGTTGCAACTAGACATATCAGCAGGGGATGTTTCTCACCTGTGCATTCAGAGTCTTCCTCTGATGGAACACCGTCACGATTCTGTAGGAACAAGTAACAATCAAATGTAAAACACCCCCAAAAAGCAGTTTGACCATCATATTATATACTACGTTGAAGAATATGTCATTGTGCAACAGACACCTGTTCAACAATCAACCAAGCTAAAATGAAATAAAATTCCTAAACTAGTGAGAGAAAAAAAACACCCATAATTGCTCATTGACAATGTGTTCAAAACACAAAAGATGTTAATACATTGTTAAGTTTTCCAATTACCCTTAAATGTAATTATAACTATTGAAATTCTAATTATTTAATATGATTGTTAACACACTGCATCACACACATTGCACATTATGAACACTATAAGATATATATTATTATAAAAGTATAACATTAAAATATTACAGTTAATATAAGTACGCAATTAATATAAGTAAGCAATGTAGTGCAATTTCTGGAAAACAAACATTGAATAACAAAATTCAATTATTATTAATATAGAATTGATGTCGATGTGGTTTTACTACCGTTTATTTTCTTGTCACCGGCATTTACAACGGAGTTGAGCGCACGGTCGAAACGTTTTGGCCATGTGACCTGTGGCGTGTAGCCTATTGTAATAGCTTTTATCGATGACGTTGCAGCCAGAGGATTGTGGGATTTGCCGTTTTGACGGTAGCAGCTCAAAGCGTTACAGGTGACGATGTGCGCCTACAACTACTTCACGGTTCGCGCAGACGTTTTTAAGGCGGACGAGCATAGCAAATACTCACACAAAAACGAGTAAAGTAAAAAACAAAATAAGATGTGAGCTTATCATGCATACATTTAAGTTTCGTTCTCTGATGGGCGTTCACCGGGGGTTTACATTACAGCACATTACAATAATGGCGGACACTGTTAACTGGGCAGTGTAACGCAACTTCAGGTCCTTACCTCAAATATTGTGAAACTGAAGCTGTGGCAACACAGCGCACCCCGGTTATGTCAAAAGAGAAAGAAACTAAATGAAAAGGGCATTAAGAAATACCAAAGTAAAATGTTAACACTCATAATTTTCGCTGTCCTCATCCTTCGTTCTCTTCGCGGGAATTGTCTGCCGACTAGTGATGTGCGGATCGATCCTGAAATATCGATACTTCCGATTCTGGATCTTTATGCTCTGAAATCGATTCTGAAATCAAAATATCGATACTTTTGATACTTCCGCATTCTGAGATGAGGTGTATCCTAATCAGAAACATGGTGAAAAGTATCCAAATTATTGAGATGTTGTCTAAGTGACGCTCGGTTGGTGGGACTACTTCTTCTTCCGCCTGGGTGTGTGCGTCATGCGTAAGCACAGGGGCTCTACTCCGTGCTCTCACGTTTGATGGGAATTTCGGCTCTTTTTTAGAGAACCGGTTCTTTTGGCTCGGTTCACTGAAAAAATCCGACTCTTTCGGGTCCCAAATGGCTCCTCAGATTAATTATTTTATTTTATTGCAACGCGTTACGGGTGAAGTGTGCGCCTACAACTACTTCACGGGTTCGCGCAGACGTTTGCCGTTTGCCATTATCGTCATCGATAATGGTTTTTATCGATGACGTTGCAGCCAGAGGATTGTGGGATTTGCCGTTTTGAAGGTAGCAGCTCAACGCGTTACGGTGAAGTGTGCGCCTACAACTAATTAACGGGTTCGCGCAGACGTCGACGACAAGCATAGCAAATACTCACAAAAAAACGAATAAAGTGAAAAACAAAATTAGATGTGAGTTTATTATGCATACATTTAATAATTTATCTGATGGGCATTCACTGGGGGTTTACATTACAGCACATTACAATAATGGCGGACACTGATAACTGTGCAGTGTAACGCAACTTCGGGTCCTTACTTCAAATATTGTGAAACTGAAGCTGTAACACAGCGCACCCCGGTTATGTCAAAAGAGAAAGAAACTAAATGAAAATTAAGAAATACTAAAGTAAAATGTTAACACTCACCATGCTCCTTGTCCTCATTCTTCGTTCCTTTCGCGGGAATTTTCTGTCGCGGGAATTTTCTGCCGACTCGAGCGATGAGTGAAGAAGAGCGATGGATTTGTGACACCACACCCACCGCACAAACCCCGCCCAAAATCAAACGAACTTTTATTAAGGCGCCAAACCAGCTAATGAACGGGTGGGGGAGGGGAAGCACCATGGGTCAGGTGGGGACCTAAAATTTCATAAAGTGTGTAATGAACCAGGGACTCCTGAGAATTAAGGGAAGGACAGGTGCTTCACACATACACAACCCTGTGTTAATTAAATTAATTCTAAAGACACAAACTTAAACTTCCTTTTTGTCAGTCTGACAAAGAATAATAAACCTTTTGTCCTCATTTAGAGGTCTTAATTTCTTCACTGTTTGTCATTGTTTCTCCAACATTAGATTACAATATTTACACATTAACCCTTAGGTTTAAAACTCAAGAACTGAGAATATGAATTTAGAACTGACTTATGGGACACTTGACGTATGTCTTATACAGCAGCAGTATGAAAGCCAGTGCCAGACCAGCTAATGAAGGGGTGGGGGAGGGGAAGCACCATGGGTAAGGTGGGGACCTAAAATGTCAGAAAGTGTGTAACGAATCATGGACTCCTGAGAATTAAAGACAGATGCTTTTGGACAAAAGGTGTTTCACCACATTAGACTTCCCTAAACTTTTGGGCACAGGTAACAAGGTAACGTCCAGAAATGTTGACACCACACGTGAAAAATACACCAGAAAGGTTGATGCTTGGTTTCTTCTAAGTCTTGTCTGAGCAGATATTACTGAATGTCAGCACCTGACCCAGAACTGCCCTTACTTCCTTCCTGAAGTCTTCACAACATGTCTCTTTCCTTAGTTTCCACCACTTGATCTTCTGCTCTGTCTTCACTCTCTTCCTTTTTGTCACCTCCATCGTCATTTTACACACTACCATCCGATGTTGTTTGGCTACACTCTCACCTGCCACCACCTTACAGTCTCTAATCTCCCTCAGATTACATCTTCCAGGCCAAATGTGAAATTATGGTAAGTCCAGATGCTCTAGTCCACTAAGACTTGCAGGTAAATTCTAAACGTAGATGAACCCTTTGGTTCTCCAAGGATCAGCTCATGGTGACAGATGCCAGAAAGAGCATATCAAATGGAAACATGCAAGCTGTCAATTCCTTAACCATACAAAGACTATGCAGTTACCAACAATTTTTTTAACAAAAATACAATGCAAAATCGAGGTCAATCTTTCTTTGTCACTAGCACAATTAGACTACACCACTCACTAAGACGTAGATTACTTAGTCTTCCAAAACTATCCATTTTTGTTGTCAGCCTAATTTGGTGCTGGGTCAGCAAAGTAAAACCTGGTGTTTTTTTTAATAGCTTCGGGTCTAGAAGTAGAGACTCTGAGCACTCTCTAGTAAAATACTGGCTGATGAGTTGTACCCCATGACATATTTTATGGTGTCCCTAAAGTGTGGTTTGTTAGACTGTTCTTCTGTTGTCCTTGCAAACATCATCATAACTTTTTAGTGAAATGGTAATTATGGTTCCTGTTAAAAACAAAATGTTGCTGGGATGTTTAAACAGTAGTTGCTTTTTTACTTAGCTTCATCAAGGCCTGCTGGCCTCAACAGTATCGACACAACCACTAAGTAATTGAACTCATCTTAAGGAAAGAGAAGATAATATTTTGATAATATTGTAATTATTTCATGTTATTATTCATGCTTATTGGTGTATGTCACGTCACAGTTGTGGCTGAATGTTAGGTTTATTCTAACATATGTGACGACAAAGTAACAACACAAAAGATGTCTGGATCTTTTACTTGCAAGGGGAGAGTGCAGCTTGCTCTGCTGGCAGCTTCCTCATCAACTTCGACTTGCTGCACCCTTCCTCTGCTCTTTTATTTAGTTTACAAAAGTATCGGATTACATATGTGATCGTGTGTGAGTATATGAATGGGTATGTAGTAAGAAGGTGGGTGTGAATGTGGGTGTGGCTGTGTCTGGTAATTTCTCCATCAGTGTGACCTCTGCTTTTAACCCATCAGCAAGGTGAGCAGTGAGCAGCTTTCAGCGCCCGGGGAGCAGTGTGTGGGGACGGTGCCATACTCAGACTCAAACCTTCCGGACCCAAGTCCGCTTCCTTAACAACTGAGCCAACACTGCCCTGTGTTTGGAACACTAATAAATATTAACAAGACAAAATCTTAACTATAAAATCTTAACAATATCTTAACTAACAATGTATTTCGATTTTCATTAGATGTACATAAATTCAGCCAAGTTTTCTGCTACTTACTGCGTACTTACAATCCTAAATCCAAATCTGTTCTTCTTAAACCAGGGGTGCCCTAACTGTTCCATGAAGGGCCGCTGTGGCTGCAGGTTTTTGTTCCAACCAAGCAGTAGCACACCTGAGTTGACAGGTTTAATTAACTGGTCTCAGTCTTCACACAGCTGATTGGTCAAACTATGTGCTCTTGGTTGGTTGGAACAAAAACCTGCAGCAACACGGCCCTTTAAGGAACACTTTGAGCATGCCTGGCTTAAACAGTCAGCACAATCAAAGTGTTCAGTTAATGAAACTTTCACTTAAAATATATTAGCGCAGTAAATACAGTTAGTGGACTTTTTAAAACTAGAATTTGTAGTCCTCTTTTTTTCCTTGACCTTATTTATATTACAGCTTTTATCATTTGTTACGATCTAAATCGTTTCACATTTACCCTCCTATTGCATAAAAAGAGGCAAAAAATAATTATACAACAAACACAAGACCTGGTAACCTAGAAGTGTCTTCAATGAGCATGGACCTGTTATTGAAGCATCTGTATCCCCATTGTAATTTTTTCAACACACGACCTGTGGGGACAAATTAAATTCCCATGCAGTACCACTTTTTCAGTAGAGAGTGGACAAAAATCACACACACTTCCCGTACATTCTCCCCAAGGGGACTTGCAATATGGTGTGTGTCCACTAAGAGTGCATAAATACACACACACCCGTTTTTTCCAAAATTTTCATGAAAACGTGTCGGATGGGGACTTCAGAGAAAAAAGGAGGGGCATATCCAGACAACGTTTTAAAGCGTTCTCAATAGGTCAGCCCGTGGGGACCTCAATTTTAGACCCCACAGGGTTGCAGGCCCCCACGAGGCTGTGCCCAGTCCAAAAAATGAGAACACACACACACACGCGCGTGCACACACAAAAACAAATTTATTAAAATGTAACATTGGTTTGATACCCTACTTGTTATTACTGTCAAACAATGTCCTTTTTTTACCCATGACTCCCTAATGCATGTTGGTTGAACTGTAATCCATTTTCAGGACTCTCTTCAAACCATGTTGGTACGCTACGCTCTCCAACATGGTTTAAAGAGAGTCAGAGTCAAACCTAAAAAGGACAAAGAAGAAGTAACTCTCTGGGAGTGTTCACAATGATCAGATTAACATGTAGCAAGATGTGGTATGAAGTCCAACAAAGGCCAGTCTGTGGAAGTGGACATGGGTGTGGGTTTGATGTTTGAATTTTGCAAGAAACTTTTTTCAGCTTTTTCAGCTGATTTTGCCTTGCTACAGTACTAGAATAACCAATCACTGTGACACTGTGACCAGATGCCCCTCCTGTAGTGACCCAACCTGGGACTGGGGATTAGTCAGTTTGAGGCCCATAACCTTCTGCATGGCAGAGTCATGATATAAAAAGATTTGGGGGGTCCAGGATAGACATCGATAGACAAAAGATCTTAATGGAGACTAAATGAAGACAAAACCATCAATATGCGTGTATGTCTCTACATTTTAGCTTGCATAGCAAAATCGAAAAGGTTAGAAATCCAAAGTGTTATCAATGAAACATGCTAAAGCCAGCATCTGTGATGACTGGGGGATTCATCACTTGCCAGGGCATGAAGAATCTGCTCGTCTCTTAAGCTACCATTTAATCAGAGGCTTATAATAGAATGTGGGGCAGCTCCCATGGAGAGCATTAGTAAGAGTATCAGTGGAAATAACCACAGAACCTTCTGCATGGCTGGTAGAAATCCTACCACTACCCCGCTGTTATAAGCCAAGGTTTAGTTGAGTTATTGTTTTGTTAATGGAAATATCAGTCTAGTGGCGCTTTGGCCCAGAGGCAATGTGTCTGTCATTGGTGTGGAACCCCAGGGTTCACCTCCTGGGCAAGTTCAAATCCCGTTTAGGGCGTTTGGTAACTTCCAGTGGACTCACCACCCGCAGGAAGGTTTAGGGGTGTTGGTATGGTGCAATGTGATTTGGGTGGCGGTCATGGAGACTGCTGCCCCCGCGACCCATTAATGGATAAGCGGATGATAAATGGATGGATGGAAATATCAGTCTATTAAAATCCTTCTCACATTTAATGACTAAGAGGCACATTTATCAGTGTCTGTGCATCAGAGAAAGTTTTAAATGTCACTGTACCTGTGATCAACAAAGGCCCAAGTTTTATCAAAAACAGAGGAGGGATAAAATATGAGGTAATGTATACCACCAAAACTCACAAAGTGTTATTTTTTTTAATTAAGCTTCTATTCCTAAGAGAGATAACAAGCCAGCTAAATCACTAAAATGCTGGTATCGTGAGTTTTAATGATTGTGTTTTATGAAGGGGGATTCTAAGCTGTCTCACTGCCTGTCTTCTAAAATATTGTATAATAATGTCAGAAGAATGTATGCTTCTACCACTGGAGACCAATTTATTGTCTGCTTATCGTCAGATATCCGTGGTATTGAGGATTTCCTGGACCGGACATCTCAGCAGGGAATAGACATATCCCTGCAGAAGGTGGAATCCAACATCAACATGATGATCACAAGTCTGTTCAGAATCATGAGAGTGGAAGAGCTGCATCGATACAGAGACACACTACGCCAAGCCGTGTTATTCATGAGCCCAGCAACTGCCAAGGCTTTCATCACTGAGGTAATATTTCCTGTCGATAATGTAAATGAAAAACAGCAGTACAAGCCTTATGTGATGTTTTCCCACTCAGACGTTAGCGTTGTTCTTAGATCCAGAATCAGAATTGGTGTTTTTTCACATATACAAAGAATGTTACTTGGTTTATTGGTACATAATGATACAATCAAATTATTAATTAACATAAAGCCTAACATAAAACAATATATGAAACATTGTTGAACTGAGTGGCGCTTTGGCCCAGAGGCAATGTCTCTGTCATTGGTGTGAAACCCCAGGGTTCACCTCCTGGGCAAGATCAAATTCCGGTTAGGGTGGTTGGTACCTTCCAGTGGACTCACCACCCGCAGGAAGGTTCAGGGGGTTGATACGGTGCAGTGTGATTTGGGTGGCGACTGCTGCCCCCGTGACCCGGTAACGGATAAGCGGATGAAAATGGATGGTTGGATGGATTGTTGAATTAACTGGGCAGGATATGCCCCTGTTGACTTGAAAGTGAACAAGGGCATATTCTGAAGGAATTAAATGGAAACTTAGTTTGTTATTTTAGCTGCTTCTCTTATTCGGGTCATTGTTGTACCACAGTGTATCTCAGGCAGTATATACGGGGTTGGACAATGAAACTGAAACGCCTGGTGATCAAAGGTTTGGCTATAGCAGCCCAGCCATGTATATTGACCCTGTGGAGCTCCCGACGAACAGTTTTGGTGGGAACAGGAGAGCTGAGGTGTACATTTAATTCTGCAGTGAGTTGGGCAGCTGTGGTTTTATGTTTTTTGGATACAATCCGGGTTAGCACCCGGACATCCCTTTCAGACAGCTTCCTCTTGCGTCCACAGTTACTCCTGTTGGATGTGGTTCGTCCTTCTTGGTGGTATGCTGACATTACCCTCGATACAGTGGCTTTTGATACATCACAAATAATTCTTGGTCACAGATGGGCACCAACAATTTGTCCTCTTTTGAACTCTGATATGTCACCCATAATGTTGTATGCATTGCAATATTTTAAGCAAAACAGTGCTATTACTCTGCTAATTGAACCTTCACACTCTGCTCTTACTGGTGCAATGTGCAATCAATGAAGTTTGGCCACCAGGCTGGTCATATTTAGCCATGAAATCTCCAACGCTAAATTGGCCAGTGTTTCAGTTTCATTGTCCAACCCCGTACAGTCTGAGCGTTGTTAGAATCGCTTAACAGAGTCAGTCTATTAGTGTCCTGTGTTCTTCTGTGGATGTGTGTAAAACCCTGTAAATGAGTGTGGTAGCATCCTGGCAGTTGGTGCCAGGAGCAGCCTCCTAAATATTTTCATGGTTCCTACAGGATAATGTGGGTGTATTCATTCACTACTCTCCTAATCCTTTTGTCTTTTTTTTTTGTTGTTGTTACATTTAGACATTCTCCTCAAAACACACAGGTCCCTCATGGCACTGAGGACTGAACTTTAAGACTTCTGTACTTTGTCATGGACACATAAATGTCACAACACAGTAAAGTTGACTTCACTGTCCACTTTTATCTTAATGACTGTCTAGACTTTCTAGGTCAGGGGTTCTCAAACTTAATGACCTGGGTTAAGCAATAACCAATAAGCAGTCTAGACAGAGTGAGGTCACGCTACTGCATTATTCAGTTAAAAAAAATGAAATAAAAAAATGTTTCAAAAACGACAATCTTCATCTCTTCATCTATACAACAAACACAATCATGTTACATTACATTGATTTTACTAGAATCCAAGAACGTTCATTTAACATGGAAAAACCTTATTTATATAATCGACTGAAAAACATAGTTGTTCAGAAGTTGGGAAGCTTTTATAGCTTAACATGTTTACACAAGTTAGCCAATCAGATTTAGAGTAAGGCACAGACTCCTGTGTGTACCCTTTACACACAAGTACTGTATCTGACACTGTATGTGTGCCAGGACCAAAGCTGTCTTTGTATTTCAGTACAACTCGATATCAGCAATGGAAACAAATGTTTTTGGTTTTTTTTTGTCAACCACGCAAAGATGTTCAGACTCATTTTTTTCTTCTTAGTCATCCATGTACCAGCTTGGATAAAAGCATGATTGGGCATGATGTCACCTTCATGCCAAATACCAGCAACCCCGGAATGGACATTAGGACTCAAGGACTCAAGGTTCTTTATTGTCATTGCAACACGTTAGACATGGGATGAACGAAATTAGTTTCCCTGGTCCCGGCTCGAGTACAAGTGACAGAGGGGAAGAGTTTGGCGTAGTGCAGAAAGAAGGGAA